AGAACCTCTCGGTCTATGTGTTCACTGAGTGGTCGTTCGGTGACCTCCTGTGCCGTATGTATCACTTCATACACGCCCTCTCATACACCGGCTCTGTGTATATACTGGTCGTCATATCCATTGAGCGCTACTTAGCGCTCGTCTACCCGTTGTTGAGTCGACGCCTCCTAACCATCCGTAAGCTTAAGATCACAATCATTATTGTCTGGATATTATCGGCCGTCTGTTGTTTCCCCCGATTTATTATCTTCGGTACCGTTAATATACCCATGGATTTAGGTTTGCATTCATTTTATTATTATATTTAAACAATTTAAAATTAATTTAATAGCAAAAACGTATAAAATATTTTATGACATACATGTATATAAAAGAACTTATCTTTTATTTTAAGTTCAATGATGAGATTTGTTTTACATTTATGAAACGTGAATTACAATATTTTATATAATATAAAGATTTCTTTACATACGTATACATGTATGTATAATATATGTACATTTATTATTATTATATTTGTTTTTTATTTTGTTATCCAAAAAATCCCTATTTAAATCAATCGTATCAACAACTACTGCTTTTAGATGTGCAACATTATATTTACATTTTTTGAATGGTTTATTTAATACCCGATTCTTAACTTATATGCACAGAGCAATGATTTAAAACAAGGCAGGGTCAAATAAGTTATGCTTTTAATATGACGTGGTTATTGAATCACCAAGGTATCCTTGTTAACTATTCATTATATTAGAGTACACTATATGTAACTAACATATGAATAGTCTATAAATTACAACACAAGGGTTTTATGCTATGTGTACTCTAGTGTAAATTATGCCTGCTGATAGCAATGATCATCTATAAGCTATAGCTCTAAAATCTAGATAGTTATTACATGTAGGCATAATTTTATTTTAACAAGGTGCATTTAATATCTATCTAAAATATATTTTCCTGTTTTTATCTGTTAAAATAATTTTTATTTCATTTTTATCGATCTACCAGTGCGATTTTGAACAGACTTGTACTTTTAATATTTTAAATAAACCCATTTTTACTAACAATAAATTTAATGCTTTTAAGAAAATTGTTTTATATTTGTTTCAATATGACTTTAATGTTTTATAATATTTTAACGTTATACATGCTAAAAAATTGTATGCTTTTAACCTGCACTAAATGAGGGAATATCTTATCAACTTTAGTAAAAGTCTTCAAATAAAATAAATAAAATAATCAATTTACAAAATCAATTCAAGAAAATCACGTTTACTATGGAAAATATAAAATTATAACAATTATGACAATTTGTACTTTATAATTATAGTTTGAAACAAGAATACTTGGTCAACTAGAGATTGCCCTGTTGTATTACTATAAATTAAAAATAATTTTTGTAACATCTATAGTATGTATGGGTCAGGGCAGCTCCATGGCAATTTTAATGCTATGTAATTTATACTCTATGCATGTTTTACTCATATATAGCGTAATACTCATATAAAAAGTGGGGTTTTACATTAAAACTTTTATACTCATAATATCAAAACAGGGCACTTGATGACTATAATAAGTGTAACGATGATAGTGAATAATTGGTTATAAATTATCAAGGTAATGCAATAACCACGTCAAGTTATAAATAGCTTCGCCCCAATCATAATCTATAGTATGTATCTATTAATAGATACATTAATATACATTAATGTATATTAAATATAATTAGGAAATCTAAGTAATTAGGAAATACTTAGTAAATCTTATCTTGTAAATCATATAAATTTGATATTAGATATTTAATCTAGATTATTATATTTGTTTTTAATTAAAATATTTACTCGTTTTGCTGAGTACTGCTATTATACCTACAGTAGGTCGTCCATAGTTATCAAATAAATTATTGTTGGATTATTATTTGTAAACAAAAATAGCAATTGAATAAGTATTAATCACAAAAGTAAACTAATTAAATAATATGACTTATTAATATTTATGACTTGTTAATAACATAATCTAAATTGATAGATTATAAGCAAACAATGTACAGTAAATAAAAAACATCGCACTACCTTTAGTATAAAAATCACAAAGATTATCTATTATGTTATATATTTTCATGTTCAATAATTTAATATAATAAAGTGTTGAGTGTATCACGTTTTTGGTAAATATTACATTTGGTGCAATCATTAAAGAATAATACCGTACATGTTGCTAATTTTAAAAATATAAGATTGTCATATTTGTCAAAATTGGTACTCAATAATTTATTGTCAACTGTTTGTAACAATTTTATATAGATTATTGTCTGAATGTTCAGACGTATGTTTAAAAAATTCCTATATTTAAGTAAATATTTATCAAAAATATTTAGTGACATAAAGCATATTGAAAGTAAATATTAAATTTGAAAAAATAAATTCCATTTTGTTTTCTTCTATTGAATAAACTGAGTACCAGGTAACTTTCAATATATTTTTTAACATAACTAAATAATTTAACATTAATAACATAACGTATTTTTAAATCCACCGTGTTTATATATGTTATGCTATTAGAAATGTTTGGGGAATTTTTAAAAAATGCACAATTGCAAAGCAGCTTATTCATAAAATAACAACTCTGACATTATTTTATAAATTTTATTTACAATTCAAATATGAACTTGAGTATGGAAATAATAAAAAGCAATATAATCTAGCCACAAAACATATTTACCACAATCATTGTAATGCTATTCAACAATAACCCCATTATTTACCCAAATCACAGAATCCAAAGTGCTTTGCGTTTTAAAGCTTAAGAAATACGACGCGAAACTCTATGACGTGCTGTACATAAGCCTATGTTTCGTAATACCACTCATTATAATCACAGTCCTATACCTGCGTATATGCCATCACCTGTGGACCAGCCCTTTGCCCGGATGTACACTACAGGCCAACCGTATGGCCACAGACACCGATAGCAACTCGTGTTGTTTAGGCGGTGGCGGCAGTGGCGTAGCCGATGGCGGCACTTATAAGCCCAAACAAATGTCGGTGAGTCAGGCCACGCCGGCAAAGTCACCGGCCACCCGGTGTGTTAGCGAGACGGCCATCAAGCTGATTATCGAGCGACGCAAAAAAGTGATCAAGCTACTTATCACGATTGTGTTGGTGTTCGCGGTGCTGAGCACACCCTTTCACTTACGCAAACTGGTTCAACACTTTAGCCCCGACTACGACGTGTCCACCGATATGGCCACCATATTCACCATATTCAGCACACTGTGTCTGTATTCAAACTCGGCCGTTAATCCATTGATCTATCTCATTTTCTCAAAAAAATTACGCCGATTAATGATCGATGTGTTTTACCGAATGGCGCGTAAACTAGATTCATGTAATAGGTATGATAAGCATGGTCAGTATCGTTTGCCTGGCGGCTCCAATAATGTATCGTCGATTACACCTGGGTCAAATAGTAATGAACAGGCCAATTTTCAGATCGTGAAAAATAATAAATGCCATTTAATTCTTGGTAATAAAGAGTCGGTTATATTGATTGCTAATGAGACCAGCGTGTAAACTTTAATTAGTCATTAATAAATAGTCTGGGTTAATTGGGCTGTGTTTAATGTTATTATGGATGTTTTTACAGTAAATAACTTCAACGCTGTTGGTTATTTGGTTTTCTACATTTACCCCCATATATCTTATAAGTTATAATCTTATTTGCTATAAATCAATTACACCAATCAATATTATTTTTTACTGAATACTCTAGTATGATTTATTTTATTTTATTAGTTTATAAATTATTTTAGTTTATTTGCTCAAAAATTATACTTCGAGATATATTGTGCGACATAAATGTAAATAATATACACGATAGCTAGCTTAGCCAAATAATATTTTAAAATTCTTGTATAAATGTGAAAAATGCCAAAAATTCATGTATTTTCCTGTATTACAGCCTATTTTTAAAATATTTATTCCTGTATTTTCAATGTACATGAAAATTCTTTAATGTATTCCTTGAAAGTTTTTTTTAATAATACGGGAAATGTCTGTATGTTTGGCAACGCTAACGATAACTAGTATTACCATGGTATGTTATCAATTATTAAATATATGAATTATTAAAAGTTTGTTTTCAAAGAATTCATGTAATTGAATAAAAGTATATAAATTATTTATAATATTGTTACCATATTATTAATATTGATATGTAATGACGTATTCTAAAACATTATAATGTTAATGGTATATATTTAAAATACAGAGTTTAAAATAATTGATTTGTGTAATGCAAATAAACATACTCATTAATTTATTCTGGAGTATAATATAATATGCTCTATCAGTCCAAATAATTTATTATATTACATCATTAAATTATTTTAAAATTTAATTATTGGTGTAAATGATATACAGTATATGTAGTCTACCCGTCAAATCGTGTCGATAGAATTGTAAAATTAATTTCATAATTTAAATTGACATTCTAAGCACCTGATTACAAGTTTTATCAATATCAAATGAATACTCTTTGACCACGACTTTTTCAAAATATGTCACAGATTTTAATGTATTCTATGGAAGGGCTTCCGTTTTTAAATTTACCTAAACATACACAGGTTTGCTGATAAATATATATACAGTACGTCCCCGAATTTGGCACACGCGATTTTAGCAGAATTCGATTTTAGCATAAGGTTTTGTTAGCACCGGCGAGTCATATTAGCACTGCTAATAAACCCGATTTTAGCAGAACTCAATTTTGGCACATCTTTTTCACAGCACCAATGACATGCCAAATTCGGGGCCGGATTGTATATCATTTTTACCAATATTATATATTAGAAATGTGCTCAATAACTATGATTCTACTGTATGTAAACTCATATATGTTTACATAAAAATTATCTCAAAGCTCTCCTGAGCTCATTTATATTGTGAATGTTATATTATTATATACTGTAGATAACACATATTCCTATGTTAATTATGTTATATATTTTTTATCAAATAATTTATTTTGTAAAATACAATAAATTTACTATATTTTAATTCATTAATAATGAATCATTATGTATTGTAATTGTGAATATACAGGTATATAGTGCTATTTAAAGTACATCACATACTACAACTGTTGTATAAAATTATTTTTACTTTAAATTAAATTACTTATTAAAGTTAAAAATATAACATTGCTGATATATTAAAAATTCTACAAATAACTACTATTTTATATTGTAAAATTATTATATTTTACAAAAAATAATCATGTTGATTATAACACCATTATTAGAAGGTATGGGATGTGATAAACATGTGAATAAAATGAAATAATTGTATTTTGTTTATTCATTGAATGCGAGCTTAATATTGGATTAATTGTCAAATAAACTAAAAATATTTAAAACCAAATAAATAAAACGGTTTAAATTTATGTAATAATTTACCAGATAACTTGTAATCATGTTTGTGACATGAAATATTTGTTGTTGTATTAATAACTATTTTAATAAAAATATTGATTATTTTAATTGTATAAAACAACAATGGTAAATTAATTATTTGTAAGCATTAAATATATTTATAAATAATTAAGTATTGCTCATTGCCGTCACATTATTAATGTAAATTTAATAATTTATTAATTAAATAAAATATGTGATTTAATCGAAATACTCACTAAATTAAACATTCTTAAAAGTAACCTGTAAATGTAATTATCTATTTTTAGTTTTTATATTTTATTCTATAAAAATAAGATATACCATATTGCAAATATTTAATTCAAAATATTCTAATCATATTGAAGCAATTATAATATTTGCTAAGATTTATGCTTTATTTATATGAATATTATATTATTATTACTATTATTAATTAAGTTGGTGTGAGCTTGGTCACCTGTGGTCTGCCAGAAAGCAAGTACGTGGAATGAGTCAGCGGCTGAGCACAGGCTCAGTGCCGCCAATGATGCGATGGTAAAGAAAGTTAGTTTCATAGCTGACAATTTTGATCTCAATAAATGTTTTTCAATTTATTTTATACTCTATGATAATGAGAGATATGCTGTGCTCTCATGAGTGCTCTCTTAGGTAATTGTTATTCATTTAATTGTCGATTAAATATTTTCATGGAAATAGGAACTTGATAAACACTTTACTTTGATAAACTGTTCTTTTACGTTTATCATATACATTATGTACTGTACATTTCTAGTCTTTTGCGGCTATTTATTAGATATTTATACAATATCTAGTATAAATGAAATTTTAAAATTATAATTAATAATTGTTTAGAATTGTATTAGGATTTTATTTTTATATGTTTTACTTCTTTTATTTATAAATTAAAAATGTCATTATGTCTATGTAACTTATAAGTGAATTATCGATTTAAACCTATTTTAATTATATTAACACAATGTATTTATTGACATAAGATTATAGCACTTATAAAACTATATAATTAAATTAATTTAGTTTTAATTAGTGTATAATGTTTAATAGATAATCCAATTATATTATTATTGCTAAATTACAAGTATACTAATTGTAATTAAATATTCTAACATAAAAATATATTATAAAATACTTTTTGCTATAAAAAATAAATAATACCATTGTCCTTTATAAATTTCATAATATATTAATATTGAATATAGAATAATTAGTTATACAAGAACATTTATTTATATTACTTGATAGTATAAACAAAGTAATTTATATAAATTAAATTTGTATTGATTTTATTAATGTTATTGCAATTGTATTCTGTATTATACAGAATACATTGTTTTATTTTATTGATTATGCAATTTGTTATTATAATTCATTAGTTATTATATGTGTTATATTTTGTAATGTCTGCAATTTATATAATTTAATATCATTTGAAGCATAGTATCTGTGGTATAAAATCTGTTTTATGTTTTAATAATTTTAGCACCTTATAAAAATTAATTTTTGCTATTAAATATAATCAACTAAACTATTTATTTAATGTAAATTATAACTTTATAGTATAACTTAGTTTAAAAATGCTAACTAAATTGTATAATAATTTATTTAATATAATATCATACGTGATATGTTTGATGGGATGTGTGTATCAAACGTATAAAATTAGTTTACTATACTTTTCATACGAAACCACAACTAATGTTATATACGAGTCAAATAGTGTAGAAATATTGAATACTCGGTTTACTATATGTGTTAATAAAACTGACATGGTCAAAGTTGGTTATCAAAAACAATATTACGACAACAATGTATCGCATATCCAAAATATTAATCAATTTAATCTCCTATCAATTGGACAACAGTTTGAATGGTTATCTCAACCAAGATTTAATTGTCATACATTTTACACCAAGGGCCCTAGAGAATGTGTGTACCATAATATTTCTATAAGCGCTGACTATTATTGTCTTACTATATCGGCCCTATTTAACAGTAGTAATCTCGCCAATAATAATGATGCAAAATATATATTTATTAATATAAATATTACCAAGACCAGTTTAATAATGCATGTACATTCACGATTTAAGCGTATTTACAATTTAAGATCAAAGAGCCGTCTATTTTCACATATATCTCCGAGCATGGCCAGTTTAGTCAAATTTAGACTCACCATAATTAAATATGACAAAAAAATTAATCAACATGGTTAACCCGGGTATAACGCGAGACAAGTGCATAAATCAATGCATTTATAAGGAATATGTTTATAATAAGTGCTTATTACCGAGAAATGTACTTATCTACTTAGATGATAATCATAATATGACGAACAACTTGCATTTTAACCACAATTCCAGTGTAATTGATTGCAAAGCCAAGTGCTTTCAAAGATGCAGTTATAATTGCATTGAGTGTACAAAATATTTTTACACAAATGAATTAATTAGTGAACCAAATGTTGACAAACAATACATTTTGAAAGTATTGTTTCCAACGGAACCGACGACTGAATACTCAATATCATTAAAAATGTTGACCGAAGAGTACTTCAGTCTAATCGCAAGTGTTATTAGTTTGTGGTTTGGCTTTAATATACTTGTGTTCACACATACGTTGAGGCAACTGCTAATGGGTTGGAAAATTACTCGTAAATTACTTCTATATGTTAAACATATTAATACTGTCCAAAATAATGTTATGTTTATTAAACGTGTTAATGTTGTAATAAATGAGAGAGTTGGTTATGGTAGATCGATTTCTAATTAAGTTATTTATCTAACTTAATAAATATTGATAAAGAACTTGATAATAATAGTATTTTAAATTATTAAATGATAATATAACTTTGCAAAGGACTGAGTAAAAATATTTACACCTGAAGATATATTGAGCAACATACATGTATTAAACTAAGGGATTTACAGAATACAAGCTATTTAAAAAACAACTATGCAACATTAATGTATAATGTATACCATAATTGCATGAATATGTAAATTTACTTGATACTATAAAAATGTCAATCGTAAATATGAAATGTTAAATTTTTATAGCCTAAAGTTATATAAAATATCACTAATTTATCACATATTTGCTGAA